TCAAGAGTTCAGTCAGTATCAGAGAATATTTCAACTTATTTAGCATCCTTTAGAGACTTGGCAAAGAGTTGTGAATTCAAAGGAAGTTGTGCAACAGGACTGTGTGAAAAAGCAGTGCTTGAACTCTTATTGCGTGCACAATTCATCAGAGGACTATCTGATAAAGAAATTCGTGAGAGAATCCTAGAACAGGCTAATATATCATTAGAACAAGCTGTTAACACAGCCCTATCAATAGAAGCATCCAAAATACAAAACAGAGATGTGTATACAAATTCCACAATGCAAACACACCAAATGAACAAAGTAAGTCATTATAGAGACAGCTCCACATCTGGAACAGCCACCACTTCAACTACTAACACTCAGCGGAAAAGCAACAAATATCTAGATCTTAAGGCATTGGGGTCGAAAGAAGTTTGCCTTGCATGTGGGAAAAATAATCATCTCACACGAGAATGTAAATCGAAGGAGCATCTCAGATGTAGTGACTGTAAAAAAAAAGGGCACATAAAAAGAGTTTGCCTATCAACTCTGTTGAAGAACAACGATCAGATTAAACAAATATTACATGAGAATGATGATGACAGCAGTACAGAAGAAGACCAAACATTGAATCTTGTGGATATATTCCTGGGGACACAAAAAACTGAAAATACACTTATTGAGTTGCACTCTGTTGACAGCAGCAAATTTGACATAACAGTTATGATAAATAACATGCCACAGAAATTTGAAGTTGATTCAGGCAGTCCTGTTACGTTGATCTCCAAAGAACAGTTTGAAAAACTAGGACAATTCAAAAAATTAAATGAAACACCAATAAGGTTCAAGTCTTACACAGGAGACATTTTTCATCCACTTGGGGAAACCGAGGTAACTGTCACATATGGAAGGAAACATATCACCGAGAAGTTGTACGTTACTAAAGAGAATTACGCCCCCATATTAGGGCGTTTATGGATGAGGCAGCTTCAAATTGATTTAAGTTCTCTGGAAAAACCAAATGAAGAACCAGTAGACCTTCAAAACGTAGAACTCTTATTGATGATATATTCTCAAACTTCATGATAATGCTAAACCTGTCTACCTGAAACCACGACCTATCCCATATGCCCTCCTACCAAAGGTAAATGAGGAACTTGACAAGTTAGAAGAACAAGATATCATCACACGTATCAATCAGTCTGAATGGGGCACACCTTTAGTATGTATCTCTAAGCCAGATGGAGGAATCAGGCTATGTGCAGATTACAAAGTATCAGTAAACCCTCAATTACATGACACCAGGTACCCAATACCACGAATAATAATAATAATAATAATAATAATAATAATAATGTTTATTCATCAATATAACATGGTATTATAAAATGATTCGATGAATACCATGTAATGTATAAACAAGTACGAGTAAACCCATTAGAACCTTACGGTCGAGCATGGGTTATCTTTATATCATTGTCTACAAGTACATGTACATTCAAGGAATGACACACTTTTTGATCATATCTATAACAATGAAATAATATGGTGATAATAACATAAATAAGAATAAAATAATTAATAAAATGACGGCTTCAGTGACAATAATTGCAATGACATTAATGGACAACAATTACATTAATTCAATTGATAAAATTATAGAAAAATACAAAACAATATATATATATATATATATATATATATATATACATAGGACGATAACAGTTTCTGATCGTTCATTTCAGTAAGTACAGAATTTAGACCTAATCCATGAGTTTTCTGACCACTGTTCTAGGTTGATGAAGTACATGGATTTTGAATATTTTTTTCACCAACTTAACTGAGTTTATGTTTCTCAAATAAAGCTTGTACCTATCAGGCAATCCATTAAATAGTTACGATGACAAATATAAGTAATATTTTTGGCTAATAGTTTTATTAACTGATGGAATTTTGAGGTTATCTTTCAATTTATTACGCGTCGGATAATTGTGATCGACTCTCTCAAGAAGTTTTCTATTATTGTATAGATATAATATCATATTATACATATATATCTGTCTTATATCCATTACACGTGCCTCCAAAAACAGTTTATCCGATGAATATGAAATATTTTCAAAGCACATTGTTTTCAATATTCTCTTTTGTAAAACGTCCAATTGTCTCAGGTGATTATAGGATACTCCACCCCAACTTAGGATTCCGTATTGTAGTCGTGATTGTACTAGTGAATAATAAATTGTTTTCAAGTGAGCGAATTTCAGAATGGTACGTAGGAATTTGAACCTTGGTAGTAAACATCTGATAGTTTTACAAATATTGGAGACTTGATGTTCCCATCTTAGGTGTGAATCAATTATAACACCGAGATATTTGATTTTCTCTGTTTTAGCAATTTTAAATGTGCAGTTTTCATCAGATATCGATAGTTCAACAAATTCGGGTAGTCCACTTTTATGACTGGTAAAGGGTAGGAAGTATGTTTTGTCAAAGTTAATGGTGAGTAATTTGAATTTAAACCATTGCGCAATGTTTTTGAAGTCCTTCTCTACAACATTTTTCAGACTTTGCCAGGAATCCGATGTATATAAGATTGCTGTATCATCGGCGAAGCTGATGATTTCACCGGATGTTTGCATAGTAAGTGGACTGTTTAAGTAGAGATTGAACAATAAAGGACCCATTATGGTGCCCTGCGGTATTCCATGACTGATTGTTTTTTTGTCACTCAGTTTATCATTTATTTTGACAACTTGCTCTTGGTCTCTCAGGTAACTTGTGAATAAGTCAAGCGCAACGCCTCGAACCCCGGACCTCTCCAGCTCTTCCAGTAGCTGAGAGTGATCAACAGTATCGAAAGCCTTGGCCAGGTCGAGGAATACACAAAGCGCCGGCTTTCCATTATCTACAAATTTTTGTAAATTTTATCTATTATTTTCAGAATAGCATCGTTTGTGGAGCGGCCCTCTCGGAACCCATATTGTTGGTCAGATATAATATCATGTTTTTTGAAAAAGTCATTCAACCTTCTCCTAAGACATTTCTCGAATATTTTCGCCAAGGAGGATATCACTGATATGGGTCTATAATTGTTCACTAGATGTTTTTCGCCTTTTTCATGAATGGGTGTTACAACCGCTATTTTGAATTCGGAAGGACAGACACCCGTACTTAATATTTTATTAATCAAGAAAACGAGAGGGTCTTTTATTTGTTCACGAATTTCTTTGAGTGTTTCAGCTTTCAGTTGATCTATGCCAGGTGATTTATTATTTTTCAAGTCTACTATTATATTTAAAACTTCTTCGCGAGTTACCGGATTCAAAAATAGGGAACCTTCAATCGGTGTTTTCTGGATGTAAGGGGAGTTTTCTGGTTTTATAATTTTCGCCGCGAGATTCTTTCCAACATCAATAAAAAAATCATTGAAAGCATCAGCTATATCAGAATGGTCTGTGATGGTTTTATCATCTCCTAAAATAATTTCAGATATTTCATCTCGCCTTTCGGGACATGTTAGGTTTGTTATGATTTTCCATAGTTCCTTGGAACTTCCTTTATTTTCATTGATCAATTTATCATAATATTTGTATTTGGATATTTTGATTAGCTTGTCCGTTTTTTTTCGATATTCGATATATGTTGATTTTTTTATCAAGTTTGTAGGGTCTTTTTTATGTTCACGGTATAAATAATTCTTATGATTAACTGATTTCACTAATCCTTTTGTTATCCATATTTTCCTTTTATTTTCATTCCTTCAATTCTTCATGTATTTGGTGTTGCGCTCAATTAATCCATGTAATATATGTATGAAATGTTCTGTTTGTTTTTGTACGTTTTCGATATTATAAAATTCATTCCAGTCTGTTTGTATCAAATCTCTTTTCAAGTTCCCATAGTGGATAGTTTTGTAGTACACAATTTCTTGTTTTTTTACAGAAATGTCCTGAGTATTATTATTACTGTTTGATGAGAAATTGATGACTGTAGCTTTATGATCAGTTATATTAGCGTCTATTACCATGGCGCGACATTTTTTGGTGATATTCAATGTTTTCGACTTGATGAAGATATGATCTAAGCAACTTTTGGAATCACCTTGTATACGAGTATATTTGTTAATCACTGAAATGAAATTGTTTATGCTATAATTATCTAAGTAGTCAAATATAGTTTGATTTTCTTCAAGTATATTCAAATTGATATCTCCCACTATAATATGATCATTTATTTTCGTGTTATTGATTTGTTGCAGATACCTATGAAGATGTGTCAAGAAGTAATCAGCATTTGTTGAAGGAGGCCTATAGATGCAAGTAATGAGAATATTTTTATGATTTCCTGTTGAGACATTCAACTCTAAAGCTTTACACTCATCAATTGAAACAATTTTATGTGAACATTTATATTCATTCCTCAGATAGACCAATACCCCATCTCCTTCATTGTAGTAGCTGCGGTAATTCTCGAGTTTGAAAATATTTTTGTCTTGGAGCCGAAACGTTTCTGATAGAACTATGCAATCAAACTTGAATGTGAGTGTGCTCAATGCTATACGTAGTTGGTCGATGTTTTTGGAAACACTCCTAATGTTTTGATGTATTATTGAGAATTTACCACTTGTTTTGAAGTTCGCTGAGTTATTGAGTTCTGACAAGTCACTGATTTCCATCGTTTTAAAAGTTTGATCATCGATATCACGAATGTAAGGATCCATTAGTATACTTCCTAGACAACACAACAATTTAAAATATAAAATATCGCTAAATGATTAAATTTGTATAACAGAAATTTAAAATGTAAATGATTAGGATTGTATAAAAGTACGAAATTAACTAAATATATGTATTAAAATCTAGAATGAGTTTCGAATGATAAATGTAGAATTTTCAAGAATTGGATAGAACTCGAATAAGCATAATTATGTTATGAGGGAATCAAAAATATATTTAGACAATAGAATTCAGAGAAGAAAACCTGTTCTTAGTAGAATTTGACTATTCTGGATTTCACTTCTTGAATGGTCTTGAATTGGATCTTGTTAATTTTTTTGGAGTTTCTCCGCTGGAGCTTGTGGACGTTGTTTTCGCTTTTAGCTTGATTTCTTCTTTTTTTTTATCTGCTTGGGGTTTCACTGGTATTATACTTGCAGGTCGGTTGTTTTCTTCTTCTATTTCTTCTTCCTCTTCCTCTATCTCTATTTCCTTGGGAGAAGGTGTTGTTGGAGCGCTTGTCGATTTTCTGGGTGAAGGAGGTGAGAAGTAATCTGTGCTTGTGCTCTGTTCAGCATGTGGTATATTACTAGCTGTGTATTCCTTTCCTTCAATGATCAGTTTATTTCCCTTGATGCTTGCCTTTTTATTATTGTTCCGAGCTTCCTTCAGTCCTTCTATAAGAATTTTCCTTTCCTTTCTCTCCGAGTCAGAGAGATCATCGGCTACAAATATTCCTGTACTTTTGAATTTTTTCCCACTTCTCAAGATTTCCTGTCGTTTTATATGAGATATTAAGGAAACCAATATAGGTCTATTATGTCCTGACTGAGATCCAGACTTTTTTCCTAATCTGAAAATATCGTTGAAGTCACTCTTTTTCAGTTCAATTTCTAATTTTTGTTCTGTTATTTCAACTATGGTTTCTAACAGGGAATGCTGATTTTCACTTGCCTCCTCTTTTATTCCATAAAATACTAAGTTGTTATGTTTTTGTCTCTTTTCAACTTTTTCTAATTTGCTTTTCAGTTGCTTATTCTCTTCTTGGAGTATCTGTACCTCCTCTTTCACGATCGATACTCCAATTTGTAGTGCTTTACAAAGGGATTGGGTTGACTGTTCCACTTTTTCAATTTTTTCTGATAAATTCGTATTTATATTTTGCATCAGTAAATATACATCCTTCAGAGTAATCTCTTTTCCACCCATTTTATTCACTTATGTAATATGTTGTATGTTCCTCGTATTTAACATTCATTTGGTATCAAAGATGAGTGTCTTTATCACTTTACGGTGTAATAGATACCTATTAACATTTTCCTTTGGTGGTACAGGTCTACGGCTGACCGTGACTGGTGGAAAAACTCGGATGTAAACAGAACGAAACTTTGGGATAAATCACTTGAAAACAAATGTTGAAATGAAGATTTTCACTTGCCCACGTTTGCATGTAGTCTTCGAACGTTAACAAAACTGGTGGTTCACTTTGTACTATTCAGAATTGTCAAAAACTAACGATTTTGTGTTAATGTTTCAATATGTTTTGAGAACAGGTGTGTGTTGGAGAGCTGTTCCTACTATCAATATGAATAGAAGATATATTCAGCGAAATGAAAAATGGCAACTATTTTTGTACCTTGGACTTATATAAAGCATATCTTCACATACCAGTTGATGAGGAAAGTTCGAAAATATCAGCCATCTCCACACATAGAGGTACTTATCTAGTAAAAAGATTTTTTTTTGGATTGAAAACAGCTCCCAATGAGTTCCATCGCATTTCCGATCAGCTAATCAATGATTCAGAGGAGGTGATCACTTATTTCGATGACATTGTAGTACAAGGAGCTACAATAACTGAATGTAGACAACGTCTAGAGAAATGCCTACAACGCTTACAAGAAAATAACATCCATTTGAATAAAAAAAAGTGTCGTTTTTTATCCAGAAAAATAACTTATTTGAGACATGTCATCTCAGAAAAAGGACTTCAGAAATCCAAGGACAAGGTGGAAGCTGTCTTGAAGGCAGAGAGACCGAAAGATATAGACAATGTGCGTTCATTTCTTGGTCTAGCCAACTACTATGTCAAGTTTATACCAGAGGCTGCTCGACTTATGTAACCCTTGAATTGTTTGTTACGAAAAGACACCCCATTTCGATAAACAGCCGAATTTGAAGCCTCTTTTTCGAAAATTAAGCAAGAAATTGCCAGTGAACAAACACTGACACCATTTGATCCTTCGAAGCCTTTGATATTAGCCACAGATGCAAGTCCCTATGGACTTTCAGCAGTCATGTCACATATCATACATGGAGAGGAAAGACCTATTACTTTTATATCCAGAGCACTCACTACCGCTGAGAGAAATCACAGTCAGTTGGATCGTGAAGCTACTGCAATCTATTGGAGTTTCAAGAAACTATATCAGTTTCTTTATGGAAGACATTTCACCTTGATTGTAGATAATAAACCACTAGAAAGCATATTTTCACCAAATAAGGCACTACCTGTTTTATCTGCAACTCGACTGTTGAGATATGCACAATTTCTCAGTGGATTTGATTACGAAATACAACATCGTTCTTCGAAATCACATGGGAATGTGGATTACCTATCAAGAAAACCCTTGCCACTCAAACAAGTTCAGGTAAATTTCCAGTCAGATGATTATAAAACCAATGAAAATTTCATAGCATCATTGACTTTATATGCTCCCATCACAGTCGAACAAATTCGAAAAGCAACAAACAATGATGAACATTTGGCTTTATCCAAACACAAACTCCTAGAAGGGGAAATGGTGAATCCAGAATACAGTGTACACAATGGAATAATAATGAGAAGTAACAGAGTTGTAATCCCTAAAAGTTTACAACAAGCGTTACTAAACATTTAACATGAAACCCATATTGGAATGGTAAAGATGAAAATGTTAGCCAGATCTTATTGTTATTGGGAAGGTATCGACCAAGATATTGAGAGTTTGGTAAAGGGGTGTAGTCCATGTTCGCAAATAAAAAAAAACCCTGTCAAGATACCATTACATAGTTGGGAAACACCCGATACTCCCTGGCAACGGGTTCACATCGACTACGCTGGCCCGTTTGAAGGACATCAGCTTCTTATTGTCATGGACCCTCTGACTAAATGGATAGAAGTGAAAATCACCAAACAAGCACCTACCTCCAGCATGACAATTTCCTTCCTCACAGAAATATTTGCTCGAAATGGACTACCTGAGCAATTAGTTAGCGACAATGCCCAAATTTTTAAGTCAATGGAATTTAGTGCTTTTTGTACACAGAATGACATCCAGCAGAGGCTAATAGCGCCAGGCCATCCTGCTACGAACGGTACAGCCGAACGAGCGGTTCAGACAGTCAAGAACAAGTTGAAAACTATGCACCTAGAACCTGGGACCATTCAAGAAAAGGTACAGCGTCTACTATTCAGATATAGAGTAACGCCTTTAGGTAATGGAAAAACTCCAGCAGAGCTGCATTTGGGACGGAAGATCAGAGCTAACTTAGATCTCATCAAACCAAACGAAACTTTTACAATAACCACATCAAGGTTTCCAGCTTTCGGATTGGAGAAAGAGTCCAGTCAAGGAATTACATAGGATCACAACTTTGGAAAATGGGTACAGTTGTAGAGCGGCTTGGAAAACTACATTATTTGATCGAACTTGATCATGGGTACGTGATTAAGCGACATGTTGACCAATTAAGGTCAACGAAGGTTCTTCCTCAAACATCAAGACCAACACCGAGATTGCCTCCAACCGAGCAGCGAGCAATCTTGAACAGAGCCCTGGGAACAAAGTAGAAAACCATCTAGATAGTATGAATGAAACCAGCAATTCGGGAAAAAGAGATGGAGAAAGAATGGTTACGAGGAATAATGAAGAGTCCGCAAGTTGTCCTGTGTCTACTGAACAGAAAACACGAACACCAACCGAGCAAATGCCATCGATTGGAATTCGCAGGTCAACTAGGGTAAGGAAAGCCGTTATTCCCTTTGATCTATGAAATTAAGGGACGGAGAGTTGTAGTGTAAGGCCAGGCGAAAAAGAAGAAACAGAAAAATGAGGAGAAGTAGAACAAGAATGACAGGAGACAAGACATATAAGTTAGCGCTTAACAATTAAGTTAACTTGTCGACAGTATATGAATAAAACATTATAAACCTGTTTCTCAAATAGTCATTTATTATTAACAAATATACCACACAATGCTAACTTGAATGCCTAAATGCTACCCAAACTCAATCACGGTCACAACAGTGCAGTGCATTGGTGTTATACCGAGGGAAGAACGAAACATTTCGACTTGCTAGAATGACTAACGCTCGAACTTTTGATGATATTTAGATTGATGATATTTAGATTGTAGGTTGAAATAAACAATTTATGTTGTCAATAAATATTACTCATCTTCTAGGATCACATAAATCTTGGAAAGCTGATTTGACTAACACGCCATCTTACTTATACCTCGAGAATGCCAAAAGGGTAAACACAATAATATCATCAAATATTGAATAATGCAAATTGACTAACAGGCAAAAAATGACAATGTATGTCATATCAGAATGATTCATTAACAAGGTAGTAGGAAATCATGACAAATAAAATAACTTATGGTGGTTTATTCAATATTGGAGATGACTCATTTCATATAGTGGAAAAACGTATATTTTCATGTTGTTTGAGCAACTACTCCTAAATATAGGTACCCATTCCACGGTAACTAAAGCGCCAGCTCCGTGTTCAAAATGATATGAAACATATACAGATCGATGCAGAAAAATAAGGGCTTTTCAGTTATGTTCATAACTCATTTTTGATTGAAGTGGCGCTTTAGACCTTTCACTCTTCCAGTGACGATATTTTCTTCATAGAGAACATTGAAAGGTCATAGTTCATTTATAATGTTCAATTTACTTGAATCAAGTCCTGAAGAAAACTTGTGAGTTGTTTTGTTCTGAAGATTTTGTTAGTTATCAATATCGCAACTTCTTTTTCAGTAATACGTTATTTTCACGGTCATACCATGATTCATTATACAGGGACATTATTTACTTATTTTCGAAAAATTTAAATGGAAAAAAAACCACAGTGAAGTGCATCAGGGCAATACAGTATTTTCACAGTGATATCATCTTAAGTATGTCAAAAATCCTCCTATTATTTAGACCATATCTGTTTTTTTGCAATATTCGATTAGAAATTGCTAGATTTGCAGGCAAATACAAAGTGGCGTCGAAAAATATTTTTTCTGCAACCGACACAAAAGTCGGCAGCTTTTATACCAAAATTAAGACTTGAATTGACGTTTCTATAACTGACATAAAAATAGGTATGTTGCTAGGCAACATATTTAGATCCAAGGAACTAGAAAATATGTACTAGGCGTCAAAAATGAATAACATTGTTACGGTTGGTTATTTGGATTGAAACGCATACCTGATTTGTTTCCAATTTTGGAATATTCAGTTTTTGATACCCATGCTGGAGATATTGTTACGTTATTCGGGTGCAGAAGCGAACACGACACTATTTATTTCCGAACTGATTTATTTGAACTATAGAAACACTAATTTATAACGAACTCATAAGTAATATTTATGTAAAACGATTCATATAACGCGGTATATAACTGTCTCTCTGACACTCGCTGCTCGACTAACTGACGCAGTTGTTCGGCCGTCTTATATGTAAGATCCATTTGTAGGCTTTGGTTCGAGAACGTTCTCAAACGATCTTCCGTCTCCTTCTTTTTGTTCTAGAAGCTTTTCAGAACAATGCCTATTTCTCTCATCGTTCCATCGATGGTTTCCAGAACATTCCAGAATCTTCTGACACGTTATTTGTCACCGCGGCATATATTGAGTGTTCGGAAATTTGCTGGTGCATGTAGATATCATTGAGAGGTTGAAGAACAATCTGAGATGCGTGTTACAGGATGATCGTTGTACTCCTAACTTCCTGCTGATGTTTCTAGAGGCCCTCCAAGAGGAATATCATTACACTGTCCCTTCCTCAAAACGCATTGCCCCTGGAATGCACTCTGATCGTTATGAAGAAAGGGACAACTGGTTTCATTTTTACAACGTGCAGTATGGTAGAAATAGCATGGCACTACCTTCTCTCTTGGAGTTCCTTTAGGGTTCCAGCAGCATACCAGAATTCCAACTCCGATGAATCTGAATACAGCCTTCAGCATGTTCCTCACAATTCTCCAATTCAAGCCATCCAGACCACACCCCAGCTTTGGAACAGCTATCTTCTGTATGTCCTTCCCGACAATGGCGCTTCGCAAGTTGACTATAGTGTCTCCCAGAGGTATTTGTTCGTGAGTTTTTCAGACGATCTTCCTTTCATTATAAGATGAAACAGTGACCTTTTTCCATGAGGACTGATATCTTCTATTCCAAGTGCTCGGCCGACGAAGGGACCCTGTTGATGAAGCTCCTTTATCTTTCCGAATTTCCTCATGAACTTGTTGGCTATTCCTTGAGACATCTGAAGATACTTGGCGACGCAGTGAGCTAGTGCGTAATCTACAGGAGAG